TTCATTCCTCAAATGCCCACAATAGCTGGGACTGGGCTGCACCCAAACCAGGAGCTGGGAATTCAGCCCAGGTTTTCCAGGTGAGTGGCAAGAGCCCAGATACTTGAGCTATTACCTGCTGCCTTCCAGGGTCTGCATTAGCAGAAAGCTGGAGTGAGGAGGCAAAACTGGCTATCAAACCCAGGTACTCCAGGAAGGCACACAGGCACACTTTTTTTTCTTAAGATTTATTTTATTTATTTGAAAGGCAGAGTTACAGACAGAAATGGAGAGACAGGGGTGTGGTGGGGTGGGGTGGAGAGAGAAAGAGAAAGAGACTGATATTTCCTCCACTGTTTTCACTCCCCAAATGGGGACAGACACGGCTGGGACTGGACGAGGGTGAACCCTGTGCTGAGATATGGGATGCCGGCATTGCAAGTGGAGGCTTAACCTGCTGTGTCACAATACCGGCCTGACATAAGCATCCTAACTGGAGTAGTCCTTATAACACCACACAGGAGTTTTTGATGAGGAAAATAAATTTCCAGATATTTATAGTTTTTCTTAGGCCTTTTATATACGGCTGATATTTTCTCTTTAATAATGAATAAGCTTGCCCCTGATTACTGTAAAACACTAACCAGCTGAAGATAACTGCATAGAAAACAAGAGAACTTCTGTGTTATACCACCATAATTCTATTTACCAATATTTTTGAAGTAATTGTTTTATGACTATGTTCATGTTGGCCTCACATCTTGGGCTGTGAGCATCTAGAGGGCAATTTATTGTTTATGTCTCCAGGGTCTAGATCAGTGCCTGATACATAACCAGCGCTGAAGAAACATCTGCTGATGGAAGTGATTTTTGCTGCAGATCCCAGAGCCAAAACAGAATTAGGACGAAATTTCCTGATTTGGAGATATTTTATTATATTATAATATCTTTAGAGATTGATATAGTGAGGTTTTATGATGCCATGAAAAACATCTGCTTGATTTTGGACTAGTCATTTATAAGCATGCTATTTCTTCCAAAATGCCTTCTAAGTTAGGGATTCTGCATGGGAACCACTGCAGTTTTGTTAGAAAAATGCCTTAGAGCAGTGTGTTGTTAAGTGTGAAATAATAGGCTGGAGTGAGGGAGTGGTGGCTAGTGGTATCTGATGATTTCCAAGATGTAAAATTATGCCCACTATGGCCCATTTCACTTTGTGAACATAATGTCAATGATTGCACAGCTGGGAGATGAGCACTGGCTTTATGAAAACCATGAGCAGAACGAGCCCACTCTAGCACACCCCTGTCTACAAAGTACTGCTGCCATAATGGGCATATCTGACATGTCCTATATGACAAAAATCAGGCAGAGCCTATGAGAAAATTCCACTTTGTGTAAATACAGTATAGATTTTAGTAGACCTTGTGAAAAGGCGTTAAAAAGTTCATTGATTGTAAAGAGGCTTACTTAAGTTTCAGTGCTTTAAGTCAACAACATAATTTCTCTATTTTTTATTGTACAAATTTTCAAGTGCACAGAAAACCTGAACACCCATATTTCTACCATGTAGATTTTATGATTAATTTTTCACTCTATTTGCTTTATATCATATCTATCTATTTATCCATTAAACCATATAATTTTTGATGCATTTCAAGATGCTGATTCACTCTTATTTGTTTAGGGTCTTCTAGGAAAAAAAATAGGTAAAATACATCACTCAATGAGTTTCGACAAATGCATATACTTGTAACCCAAATACCACCAAGATCTCCAGCATTTCCAGAAAACTTCTCCACATTTGATTTTACAGCCAAACTTGCCTGTTCAACAAAAGTGCACTCTCTCTCTCTCTTTCTTTAAGGGTAAAGGGAGGTAGAGGGGATAGAGGGGAAGAGAAAGAAAGGGAGAGAGGGAGAGAGGGAGAGAAGGAAATCTCCATCCATTGGTTCACAAACCAAATGCCCACAATAGCCAGGGCTGGGTTAGGCTGAAGCTTGGAGCTTAGAACTTGGTCCAGGTCTCCCACTTGGGTGACAGAGACCTAACCACTTAAGCCATCACCTGCTGTCACTCAGGGTGTCGCTGGTAAGAAGGTGAAATTGAGAGTGTACGTGAGACTTGAGCTCAGGCACTTCAGTATCGGATGTGGGCATCCTAAATGACATTTTAATTGTTGCACCAAATGCTACCTTTTTTTTGGGGGGGGGCACAGATTGTCAATATGACATTTTAAAAAAGATGTCCTTGGGGCTGACGCTATGGCGTAGCGGGTAAAGCCACTGCTTGCAGTGCTGGCATCCCATACAGGTACCAATTCAAGTCCCGGCAGCTCCACTTCCAATCCAGCTCTCTGCTATGGCCTGGGAAAGCAGTAGAAGATGGCCCAAATCCTTGAACCCCTGCACCTTCGTGGGAGACCCGGAATCAGCTCCTGGATCCTGGCTTTGGATCAGCCCAGCTGATTGTGGCCATGTGGGGAGTGAACCAGTGGATGGAAGACTTCTCGCTCTCTCTGGCCCTTCTTCTCTCTGTGTAACTCTGACTTTCAAATAAATAAGTCTTTAAAAAATAAAATTAAATTTAAAAATATGTCATTAAGCCTCAAGAACTATAATAAGGGCTGGAGCTGTGGTGTAGCAGGTAAAACCAACACCTGCATTGCTGGCATCCCATATGGGCACCAGTTGGAGTTCCAGCTGCTCCACTTCTGATCCAGCTCCCCGTTAATGTGCCTGGGAAAGCAGTGGAAGGTTGCCCAGATGCTTGGGTCCCTGAACTCATGTGGGAGACCGGGAAGAAACGCCTGCCTTCAGACTGGCCCAGCTCTGGCCGTTACAGCCATTTGAGAAGTGAACCAGTGGATGGAAGATTTCTCTCTCTCTTCCTTTGACTCTGCCTCTTTGTAACTCTGCCTTTCAAATAAATAAAATAAATAAACCTTAAAAAAAAACTGGATTAAAAAAATGGAATAGATCTAGAGAATGGATTCCAGTTTCCTGCTTGTGTGCTCTAGGGAGGTGGCAGATGATGGATCAAGTGGTTACTGCCACTCACAAGGAAGATTCGGATTTAGTTGCCAGGTCCTAACTGCTGCTTGGCCCAGCCCTGGCTACTGGGGGCAATACGGGGAGTGAACCAGCAGAGGGGGTATCTCCTTTTAAATAAATGGATAGATAGCTGAATAAATAAATAACCGTCATTTGCTGTTTTTATATTTTTCTGAGAGCAGTTCTTCAATAAACATGAACAGCTATATAGTATTTTATACTTCACAGTAAGGAATACTGCATCTCCATATCCTTTACAAATCAATTTTGTACATATTCCTTCACAAATGCTTAAGTTGAAGCCTTATAGGTAGAAAACCCCAGAGTAAGACACCAAAGAGTCTTAGCAAGATTCATTTTCTCCAAATTCTCTGAGTTGACTTAAATGCTAATTATTTTACATAAGGGTTTATTTTCTTTAGCTATATGTATTAAAAAGTGATGAATTAATTGATAATGATATCCAGCATTTCTTTCAAAATAGAGGTGAAGGAAAAGGTGTCTATGAAACAAGAAAAACCAAGAGATCATTATTACTGAAGTTGCCAAGGATATTTGAGAGTCCATACATAGCACTTTATATTTTTATGCTTAGTTTTTAATAATAAAAAGTTAAAACAATAGTTTTACTTTGTTTTGTATGGATATTTTTGCAAGGTAACTATTATTAAGTTAGGGGACTGGCCACGATCTGCTCTAAAAGACGCTGTAGGGTTCTGGAGTACCGAATGTTGGTGTTTAGAGACTAGCAAGAATCAGAACGCTAGCACGCAAGCTAAGGAAGCTAAGGAACGAGATTAGCAGTGCGTGCAATCTCTATAACCCCATGGAGTTTTTCTGTGGGAAGCAACCCCCAAAGCCTGGACGCGTGAGGTTCGCCACGAGAAAACTCTCTCAGAAGCTGAGAGAAAAGGAACGAGATTACCAGTGCGTGCAATCTCTATAACCCCACGGAGTTTCTCTGTGGGAAGAAACCCCCAAAGCCTGGATGCGTGAGGTTTGCCACGAGAAAACTCTCTCAGAAGCTGAGAGAAAAGGAACGAGATTACCAGTGTGTGCAATCTCTATAACCCCACGAAGTTTCTCTGTGGGAAGAAACCCCCAAAGCCTGGACGCGTGAGGTTCGCCACGAGAAAACTCTCTCAGAAGCTGAGAGAAAAGGAACGAGATTACCAGTGCGTGCAATCTCTATAACCCCACGGAGTTTCTCTGTGGGAAGAAACCCCCAAAGCCTGGACGCGTGAGGTTCGCCACGAGAAAACTCTCTCAGAAGCTGAGAGAAAAGGAACGAGATTACCAGTGTGTGCAATCTCTATAACCCCACGAAGTTTCTCTGTGGGAAGAAACCCCCAAAGCCTGGACGCGTGAGGTTCGCCACGAGAAAACTCTCTCAGAAGCTGAGAGAAAAGGAACGAGATTACCAGTGTGTGCAATCTCTATAACCCCACGAAGTTTCTCTGTGGGAAGAAACCCCCAAAGCCTGGACGCGTGAGGTTCGCCACGAGAAAACTCTCTCAGAAGCTGAGAGAAAAGCTGGCCATGTTAAAATCATCCATACCACTTCAATCTAGGTACACTAAGCAGAAAAACTTCCATTATTAAGCAGTTAATAAAGGAAAAAGTAATCAGTGATCTCCCTAGTACGTGTTACGGCACTCCCGGCACTTTTGAGGAGAGGCGTTTCCATCCTGGGTAATGAACATTTTACACACGTGCAGAATCCTACGGGGTTATAAGAAACATAAAGGTGGAAAACAATGCTAGATTTTGGTGGAAACCATATAAAAATCAATGAAGAGATATTCTCATTTTAAGGGGAAACTTTAATGCTGGGGAAAACCCCTCTGCCTCCCTGCTTGTCCTTGCCTGGACTTATCGCACAATCTGGAAAAATCTTTTCTGAGCCCCACTCTTTCTCCGAACCCTGCTCCTTCTCCTCACAGGCATACCTCTCCCCAATTGGTTTACCTGGCTCCAGCAGACCAGTTCATCCAAGGCCGGGTCCTCCACTAAAGACCACAGTTTGGCAAGAAAGCTGGGAATGCTTTTATTCCAGGCTGCCTCCATAGCGCAGGACATGAAAGCGATCCTGTTCTGTGAAAACAAGATGGGCGTCGGTTGTGCGCCAATGCATGATTGGAAGTCGGTTATGACTTCACGCCAGCTGGAGGCGGGTACGAGATTACAATACTTAAACTTTATTGGCTGGTTAAGTTGTCACACTTTCAAGCCCAGGTAGCATGTGACTGTGAAGGAACTCTGGGTAGAAGAAAGCTTTTAAAGGGACAGAGAGAAATAGTCTTGAGGAAATACGTATATGGGGAATCGTTTTTTTTTTTTTTTACTTTGATTCCATTTGCTTATCTGGCTCTCAATATGGAATTAGCAGGAATTATTGAAGATTTTTGAACCCTGTCTTCATTCCTAGGGTCATTTAAAACTTGTGGATATGGCAGTATAAGGAATGGCATTACACAACATGCATCATGATGTTTCTTGTTTTGCTTTCAATTTTATGTTATTGACATTTTTATTTTTCTTCCATGAATTTCATATTATTCTTGTCTATTTTTATAATTTCAAGTTTTAAAATTTTTATTAATATAAAGTGAACAGATTGCATGTATATCATAGATATAATTCTCAGATTACTATTCTTTCCTCCCTCTCTTCCTAAATCCTCCTACTTTCTTCCTTTTTTTTTCAATTTTTGCAAAAACATGATTTCAATCCACTGCGTAATCACAGGCTTCATGCAACACTAACCATAATATTCAACATGCAAAGAGTAGAAAGACCACAGTTACACAGGAATATAACTGAGGGCCAAAATAACAATCAAGTCACAAGATGTCTATTTCACCCACATGCAATTTTTGTATTTTATATTAATTGCCACGTATCAGAGAAAACATGATAGTTGTGCTTTGAGGACTGGCTTATTTTACTAAGCATAATGGTTTACAGTTGCATACATTTTATTCCAAAAGACAGGTTTTCATTCTTTTTTATGGCTGAGTAGTATTCCACAGTGTGTGTGTGTGTATCACATTTTCCTTTTCCAGTCCTCATATGATCTATTTGCAGATTTCTGAGGAATTTCTATGCTGTCTTCCAAAGTAGCTTTATTCATTTAAATTCTCACAAACAGTGGATTAGGGTACCTTTCTCCCACATCCTCACAAGTATTTATTGTTTGTTGATTTCCGTATGAAGGCTATTCTAAATGGGAGGAGGTGAGACCTCATTGTGGTTTTAATTTTCATTTCCCTGATGACTAGTGATTCTCAGCATTTTTCACATTTCTGTTGGCCACTTTTATTTCATCCTTTGAAAAATGCCTGTTCAAGCCCTTTGCCCATTTCTAAAATCGTTTATTTTGTTATTATTGAGTTTCTTGAGATCTTTATGGATCCTGGATATTATCAGATGCATAGTTTGCAAATATCTTCATGCATTTTGATGGTTACTATTTCACTTTGCTGAGTGTTTCTTTTGTAGTCCAGAAGCTTCTTAGCTTGGTATAATCCCATTTGTCGATTTTGCTTTTATTCCCTGTGCTTCTGGGGACTTATGTAAGAAGTCTTTGCCTCTTTTAATGTCTTGGTAAGTGTCCCTGATGTTTTCTTCCTGTAATTTGTTGATATCGTCATAGCTCTAGATCCTTGATCCATTTTGAGTGAATTTTTGTATAAGATGTAAAGTAGAGGTCTTCTGAAAGCATAGATCCAGTTAAATTGATAAAAGGATTATATCAAGCTAAGAATCTTCTGCACTGCAGATGAAACACTCAACAATGTGTTAAGGCAATTGACAGAATGGGAGGAAATATACACACTATGACACTGATAAACTATTTTTTTAAGGGAAAGGGTTTATTGGGGAAAACCCAGCAGACCGGAGGGAAGGATTGAAGAAGGAAAAAGAGAGTAAGAGAGAGAGATAGGAGAGAGAAGAGAGGGGGGAGCAAGAGAGAGAGGAGCTGAGAGAGAAGAGAGAAGAGAGTAGAAGATGAGAGAAGATGAGAGAGAGAGGAGCGAGAGGAGATAAGAGAAAGAGTGAAGCCAAGACAGCCACATGTTCAGGAACATGTCCTTTTAAAACTTTGCCGGAGGGTGAGCAGGGAAGCAGGAGCAGCGAATCCCATTAGGATGGAGGTGGCACTTGACAACAGCGGTTGGGCCATGTGACCGTGTGGCTTCCAGCAATGGCAGAGGGGACTAGAGCCTAGAATGGTGTCAGGGTGTAGATCGCACCATAGATAAAACTGCACCATTTTCCGAACATCCTCCCCTTTTGTTTTTTTTATAAAGCAGAAGTTGTATGGGATTACATTAGTCCCAAAAGTCCATGAAGACGATGATCTTTTTTTTTTTTATGGACAGGCAGTGTGGACAGTGAGAGACAGAGACAGAGAGAAAGGTCTTCCTTTACTGTTGGTTCACCCCCCAGTGGCCGCTGTGGCCAGTGCACTGTGGCTGGCACACCGCACTGATCCGAAGCCAGGAGCCAGGTGCTTCTCCTGGTCTCCCATGCGGGTGCAGGGCCCAAGCACTTGGGCCATCCTTCACTGCATTCCCGGGCCACAGCAGAGAGCTAGACTGGAAGAGGGGCGACCATGACAGAATCCGGCGCTCCCACCGGGACTAGAATCTGGTGTTCCAGCGCTGCAGGAGGAGGATTAGCCTATTGAACTAGCCTGGAATGTTACTGACATTACTTGGCCATCTCCTCAGCTGCGGTGGTCACTTTGGAAGCTGGTCCAAGTGAAGGGCTTTTCAGCTTAGAGCCAGCAAGATCTGTGGCTCTGACCTGGGCATCCTTCAACTCCAGGGCAGGTCCATTTCCAGTGATCCAACTCTTGCTGGCAGAGCTTCCAGGGCTCTTCATAAGCTGACTTCTGCTGAAGCCCAGGCTTATCCCATTGAAAGCCATTGCAGTGGACTGGCTCGTTGGGTCTTCTTGAGGGCAGATCACTGTACAGAGCTAACTTTAATAGGCCTGCCACCTATCTTTTACATTTCTTCTGATGCCTAGCTTTGTTTTCCTCCTGGTTTTTGTTAAAGCAAACCAGAGGATTCAAATCAAGGGCATGCTCAAGTCCCATCTCTTATCTTTGGTGGCCTAAACTGGAAGTCTATAGTCACAGACATGTTCTGGTAGTGGTTTATTTTGAGGTAGATGTGCCCATGAGGAAACCTATGTCCTTACTTTAAAACTTTCTCTCCCTTTTTGGTCTGAAAGGGAGGTTTTGCCTATTTACTATGCCCATGACAAAGTAAATCTAGTTGTGAAATTATAATTTAAGCTTTGATTTTGGCTATACTATTACAGAAAATGTTATCCATCCCTTTTATAAGATATAAAGATCAAATTTTTTATCTTGGAGAGTCCTTCAGAATAGAATTAGTGTCCTACCTCAAAGAGAATAGAGAAATCAGAGAACAACTCGGGTTTAGAAAAGAGAATTGAGGGAGCAAATCCCAGATTGCTTACTGACACTAGCAATATCAAATGAAAACTTAGCAAACAGTTTCAACTATTAGATAACAACTTAGGAAAACATTTACCAGAAGGTCCAATGCCTTCTATAAATTTTAAGAACACGTGTATTTGGAAACATCTCATAAATATCTAACATGGTATAGCTTGTTTAACCAGCAAATTCAAGCACAAACTTATAAAACCTTTTTAGTTTCTACCAACAGATTTAAAACATCTGACACAGAGACTCAGGTCACATCAATCAAAATGTATCTTTGAATAATTTTAGCTGTTTAAATTTATGGGCAATCTTTTATCTACAATCCAATTAAAAGAAAACTCTTAATAAATTTTCCCATGTAGACATACAATAAGTATACACATATAACATAATAGAACAATATAGAAGTTTCAATAATAGCTTTTTAAACTCTTTAACTGTTTTTTAATGTGATTCGAATTACTTTCTGCTCTTAGTAATCTCAGTTAACCATACTTCCTCTCAATTGGTACCTATAATACATTATTGGCTTCATCTGTTTACAGAGCCATCCCAAAGTACTGAATACAATAGAAGTGGCTGGAAAACATCCATTGGAATCTATACAAAACTGTGGACAACAAAAGACTAAGTTGTCATGTTTAAAATTATAAACTCATTAACCAACAAGAGGCACTTGCTTACTCACACAGTATTTTCAAATGCACCTGTAGGATCTTTACAAAGCACTTAACTCTTTTAGGCCTCTGGGGCTTTTTCATTAAGATAACCATCATGTCTAGTAACACAAGATCATTAGACTTTTTAATTCTCAGACATTTGTATCAATAACATTTTATATTATAGAAACTTAAAATGATTGCACCGCTTCACATCTTGACAGTACTTCTAATACAATCCAAATAGCCTGATTAGTTGGTGTCTTTACAAGATGAGAGACATGTATATGTCCTTCAATTTTTTCAGTTGGGCCCAAACTGGAAAAACCAAAGTCCAAATTTACTGGAAATTTCAGAGTCCAAATTCTTTAAAACTTTGATTTTTATTTTCATTTAAAATCTTTTGGGTTATGTTTAAGCTTTTTAAACGTTAGTTTTGAGAATTGAGACACAATAGTAATACTATAAGAATTAGTGATGCCTTGACTTAATAGTTTCTTTGTACTGTGATTTCCTGTGGGGGTGTATTTTCCCAAGTATAACTTGTTAAATTTTTTGTTAACCAAATTTTTTTCTTAAAATAAAGACATTTTCACACACACAAAAAATCCATTGGAAGGGTAGGATACCTAATTTATTTCAATAGGCTGGGAACTCAAAAGGATGGGATTGCCACTCCATTGCTATTATGGTAATACTGGAACAAGAGAGGGAGGAGCAAAAGACCAGTTGGAGGACAAGGGCTGGAGAGTGAAAACATAGAGACAGCCATTCCCAAAATTGGGAGAGGATCATTGATAAGACAGGGAGAGTAGACTTTGGACCAGGAGAGTAGACTTTGGACCAGGCCTGGTTTTAAGATAAAGTCTGAATTCCTGCGTGGGAGGGGGAGGTACAGTGAGCCAAGATAGTGAAAAGTTGGGGCCACAAACGTGGAAAGCAGAGGGTTCGGCTCAGTCCCTTGACCCCTAGTGGAAACCTTGGAGGCCAATAGGACCTGGACCAGAGAACAGTACACAC